CATGACTTGTGCTAGCACCGATACCAATTGCCATAATAAATATATATATATAATATCGTTAAAGACTAAAAGAGAACGTTTTACAGATCAGTGGTGCTACTGGCATAAACTGATAATGGTCCACGCACCACGAACTGAAAAACCTTGGTATATACAAGCCTTAATTGATTTATTTTAGCATACCTTTCTGCATCAGTAATTTGGAATAAATAATTGGAATATTGGAATATGTTCTGTAATGTGCAATGTCATATGTTTAGCAAGTAAACTAATTATAAAAACTATATCTGACCATAACTAATTGTAAGCCTTACATTTACAACGTAATTGTAATCCGTTCTCAACCGTCGTATAACCTGTGAATTTAATGGGGCTACTGTGAATTTAATAGGCTATAATATATAAGAGAACCATAAAGTATGACCGGCTCTGGCCCTCTTTTTTTAGGGGTAATGTCTATTACTGCACATGAATTATTTTCTTCTATTCTTTTGTTATTACATTTATTTTTTCCTTAACTTTATTCTTACTATTTTACTATATTCTAATTTTCTTCGGTTTTTTTAAACACTCATTCTAAAGACGTGTAACCAACAGAGATAATTTTAATAATATATTTTAGTGAATATCTTTTTTATCTCTACCGAATCCATAATTATATGTGATATTATAATTCTGTAATCTATCACATCAGTTCATTGTATAAAGCTAGCTACAATCTACAGATTATATTGAAATATTAACTAAGGAATCGATTTAGACTATTAAATTAACTTAGATTAAAGGATTTCAACCAATTAAGAATATCCAATAATCTTAAAAACCGGACAAAATAATAGTATTCTATTGAGTAACAGATTTCATAGTGTAAATTTCTTTCATTTCAGTCTTAAACCTATTTATGCGAACTCTTAGAAAGCTTTTTCAATACCGACAAACAGTGAACCAGCCAGCCATTTTAAAGTTCAGATATTGAAGTAAACTTCCAACCGCTGGTAAAAAACATGTGGTTTTCAAAGATACTGTCTAAAACATGACATGCTATGTTAATCTATTTCCGGACGAACATTTTTGCAAAAAGGCTTAACCTTAAACAATTTTCTTGAAATCTGCATTTCTAGCACGAATTCATTTAATGTATATAACATATATTATCGCTTGTATATGTAGGCTTATTAATATAAAAATAATATACATAAATATATAAATCTATATAAAAAGTTATATATAGAGATAAAACGTTAAAGGAACGTACAATATTAAATGTTGGATAATTTCTGTGAAAAACATATATATATATATATCATAGGCCCAATTATAACTGTGATCTTAAGGCACATCCACAGCAAAACGAACGCTTACGAATATTTGCAGGTAATCGTACTTGCAAAAGTTCGTTCGTTCGCTTTGGTGTGGATGCACCTTTAGACACTTTCTTAGGTCTCAAGTTTACAGCAAGTTTAATATACATTGCTCAAGCACTGTTAGTTATAAAATAGATCTGAATAAAGCATACTGTTCGTATTCCTTATAGTAGTACAAGTCGTTGAGTATTCATAACTTCTACCATGATTTCCTAAGCGTCAGTCTTTCGTCAGATATTCTTAATGTGTTTCTAAGGTACCTGATATAACTGGTTCATTCAGTCGATATATCGCTTTGTCCCTATAAATATCATTTGGCACACATTATGCTTTTAATTGGAGCGAATGATTTATATCTGTTACAACCATATCGCATAGCTTTTTTAATCACAAAAGCAGATTTCTTTCTTGACAGATTTCATATAAGGATTCTTATAGTTTTATCTTTACTTTACATAAATAGTTTGTCTTACAAGTCTTTAGTGGAATTCCAACTCTAAACTGCCAAACAGCTTTAATTTAGAGTCCTTCAGTTCATTATGTATCTTTGCCTTTCATTATAATGCCCAACATCATAATTATTTAGGGTTTTTAGTTAAATGCTTCTAGGGTAACTATTGTGATAATACGCGGACAATAACTAAATTCTAAGTAAGCTAAAAGTCGAGCATTTTTAACTAGTACTAAGGTTAGAGTTGAACGTATACGTGCTAATAACCAATAAATTCCTAAGACTAAAAAATTTTATTCCACGGAGTCTATTTTTATGTTACTTCATAGATTCATCAAGAATATAAATATGCTTTGGTTTAGATGTGAAGTTTCTTTTTTTGAATCAATAAAAATACACTAGAACCGCTTCTAGAAATTCTGTATATTAATTATTATTTATTTACGCTCGTCCATTACTCATACCATACCTTAAGCCTCGAAGTTCCTAAATTCTCTGGTATTCAGATCCACCTTAAATTTTTTTTATTTTTACTTGTCCTTTCACTGGTTACAAAGACAAAAACAACAATAAATGTACTTGCTACCCTAGATATTGTTAGTTGGTACTTCAGTTGTTCAAAAAAATCGACTTAAGAGAACGCGTAGTATACGAAACTATACATGAGATCACTCTAGAACTTGAAGTTTCTTTTAGTATATTTAATAACATAGTCAATACTAAAAAGACAACCAACTATCTCGTAAATATTTAGTCAGTTATTAACTATAATCGAACGAGTATCTATGGTGTCAAGAGTGATACGGTACCACTCGTCTTTCATGTGACCGAGTGGGGCACGCTTCTCTCAAATGTAGGTTCCAACAACAAGAGATATCAGTGCTTAAATTTTAAAGAGAACTCAGTTTCCTTTTATCATACTAACTTAGTATCACAATATAACTAGCATCACAGTGAATCATAGCTAGGTATGTCACAAGTAATTGGCTAATATTATAGTTTTCTAATTATAAATATTTACAATATTCTTTAAGAATTAATCAATCAATTTAAAACTGATAAAATTAAAGAATTGTTATTAGACACTCTTAGTATTTCTAAGAATGACAAAAACATTTCTATACATAAATTTTACCATCACACAAAGAACCTTCTATGAAATATTCTTCCAGTGCCAGAATCTTCCAGTTCAATCTGCTAATAATATTTAAGCGCCCCTGTAAACATTGTCTCTCCATCTTACTTTTATGTACTTCAATATCTATTTTTCTCTTTCATCCAAGTCCATTATTATCCGACTCAATACGAACAGGTCATAGAATCTCATTGTAACATTAAAGAGAAAATCTTCTGTTGATAATTAATTAAAAAAATAAGCCTAACTTAAAACAATAATAGTTAACCATATCTCCATTATTAGTGTCTATATTATGACACAGAGATAATCTTATCCAGCTTCTACTCTAATCCGTTAAATGAAAAGCGTGTTGCAAGCTAACAATGTTAACAGTAGTAAGCTTCTTAGCTTAACAATCACTCATTTGTCGGCATCCGATATCATCATCATCGACACTACAACCGATGTCAGCTTTTGTCTTCTTTAACAAGTCTCTCCAACGTTCCAAATTGTGAGTCGATGTCAACCAATTAGGCACCCCTATGCTCCAAGCGTCTTAATTTACGGCATCCTTCCAGCGCAGATATCTGCATCGCTGTCCCTTACTGTAAATACTATACATTATAATTATACATGTTGATATCATTATTTATAATAACATTATATGGCTACTTTTATAGTAAGCGGCACCGGTGCAAATGTTCGTCTCGGAAGGATGCCGTAAATCAGAACTGTATAATGATAATATACATAATGATATTAATACTCATAAAAAGAACTATAAACACTATTAAATAATATTCATCAAACTCAGAGAACCTAAGAATACCAAGGCGGTGCCTCATTTTATTTCTTATATCGCTTGCGAAAAACTTGCAACAATCATAATTAATAATAGTCATAAAACTAAGTCAACCTTAAAATACTGGGCTTCAGTCTCGGTAATACACGTCTACACAGACGTCTAAGTACTGCTCACTACTCCCAAAACAGACATATCAGCAGATTCCCTCCAATTGTAACAATAACACCGAGATGTCTTGAGTTTTTTTTTAAAAATCCAGTAAAAAACAGTATAGTCAGCAATAAAGATCACTCAGTCAATCTGCCTTTGTAGCTTCATTCCAATTTGTCCTAAGACAATCTCGCACTTGGAAAACATCACGCTAAATCAATTTCAGAAAATATTAATCTCTATAATGTTATGGTAACACTTAATATACTCATCTTGTTAGAATTAATTCTAATTAGAAAGCAGAAATATTATCTATTAATATTTCAAAAATAGTATAATAAGATCTCTATAATACCTATTTATACAATTGCCTATATGAATTTATAATATGCACTTAATACGTTTAAATTAATCAATAAAAGGAATAGAGAACACACTCTGAATATCAGTAGTGGCAAGCCAATACACCGTCTCTCATCCATCATTTTAACGAAATCTTAGCTTGATTTATTTAATATGAATTATAATGGATTTAAAAAAGTAGAAAAACAAATACACAACTTTTCTATTCTAAAATAAATATATATGCATATATTCCTATTATTTTTATCGATGTCTGTACCCTGTTTACAGCCGTAAATTAGTGTTTCATTATTAACTATATAAAGTACTATAATATTAGAATACACGATTTACCAAACTTTGGCAGATAATAAATCATATATTATATGTCCAACAAGAATGCAAAACAGCTCTATATCAGTATATTAAATTATAAATATCTTATCAGATATGTATGTTTAAGATATAACTATTTCAGTTACACATTACACCAACACAATTAACTAACTAATATCTCACTATAAGTTACAACGTACTATCTTTCTTATTATTTAGAAACTTAAAACAATTTCTTAATTTAGAGGTTATTAGCATATAAGAAATACAAAACACAATCCTACCAACATACTTGCAATCCAAGCTGGTAATGTGTTTCAACTACAGAAAGCAAATTGCAAATGTTGCACTGCTGTTGTATTAATTTTCCGTTATGATGTTAAAAGTTGGTGATAAATTTATCTTCTCGTTAAAGAAAAAAATAAAAATTGCATATATAATTTACGTTAGCAAATATCTAATTTATTAAAAAAACGTAGTACAATTTACTTCTTAGATTTCTTCATATCTTTGCCAACATCATCTGGATTATCAGCATTTTCCTTAGCGCGTTTAGCACGAATACCAACCAAACGTGCATCAGAACGAGCCTGTAAGATAGAAGAAATATATATATTTATATATACAAAAAAAAAACGATTCACAACAGGAAGAAAATAAATCATAAATTATAGTTTGTTTACATACCTTACGAAGTGTGGCGAAAGCTTTGAATTTCTTTTCTTCTTTAGTGATTTCACGGAATTCAACGACTGGTTCATCTTGCTTAATTGGCATAACTGGACCCTTAAGTTGGGTTGCCAATTTACATTCTTCAAGTGTTGATTCACCTTTACGGATTTTCTTCTCATTAATTGGGAACAAAATCAACTTGCTGCGGTATTCCTTAAGACGATGTACATTACGTTGACGTGATTCTAATGATTTGTTCTTTCGTCTGCGATCGACAGCAATACCAATACTTTTGGCGAAACCATAGGTAAGACCAGCACCCTAAACAAATGTGTTTACAAATTGTGTAAAAATACATTATTTTATAATATAAAAAATTTAAAGAGTACTTACTTTAAGTTCTTCCAAAGTGAAACCACGTCCAGCACGCAATTTAGTGTGATAACGTATGGTTGGGCAACGTACAACTGGCTTCAATGGCCCAGCAGCTGGACGCGGGAAAACAGCTTTGGCTTTCTTAATGCGGTTTTGACGCCTACGCAATTTTCTTGCAGGTTGGTTAAACCATGTTTTAACATGTCGTTGCCACCACTTGTGGAAGTGGGCATTTGGAATCATATTATTTCCTTTACCCATCTTTGCTTATTAGTCTGAAACACAAACAAAATACATACGTTAGCTTTTTTTAAATTTCTTGATATTATTTAATTGAAAGAAAAACAAAACACAATCTTCTTCTAAGAAGTACAGTTAAAAAGCGTTTACAAATAATCATATCTAAGCAAATTGCAACAATCATAACCAATAAATAACAAGCGAAACGAAAACAGGCCCCGCACAACACCACGTGTGTCAATATATTATTTTATTTATATTTTCAACTTAAGCGTTAAAATCACGTATCTACTTTTCTTCAAAATATTGTTTTCAACAATATTATACTAAATTTTAGCAAACACACAATAAACTATTTATAAAATACTTAAAATATTTTACACAAAAATATCCGAACGAACCTTGTCTCACCAAAAACGAATCGAAAAGGAAAAGGGCAGCCAACTTTGAGATAATAAGAAAACTGCTGCTGTCAGTTTTGACGTATGAAGAGTCGCATTTCGATACATCGAAAATATTCCAAACTGTTGTGGTGTGTTCAGGCAATTATTGATTTGTTACAATAAATTGAACAATATTCCATATTTTCAAATATATACTTAAGTTATATTAAAGATTTATTATATTAAATAAAATGAATATTCATTTCAAGAATTCATTTTATATGCAAAGAAACTCATTACATACATATGCCAATATATATCTCTAACTATATTAGCATTGAGTACGTTCAATGCATAATTCTTCATTGTTATTGTAAAGAATATTTGATAATTTCATTCTTACAACATGATCGCTCGAATAAAACAACGTTTGGTGCTTAAGAACAACTTGACTTCACTGCTTAAATCAATAAACAGTTGACAACAATTTTAAAGAAATTTCTGGTTTAATTTTATAAAAATGTTTTATATATAAGTATAAAGTATAAGTATATGAGTATAATTCATAAACGAAGTAATATTAATTTTTTATAAATTTTATGATTATATAATATATATATAAGTATATATTTTTTGTTGTTCTTATTTTTATTTTATGTTATTAATGTTATTATTAGTTATTAGTTAAAATAAAACTTACTGAAAATTTGAAACAAATGTCCTTTTAAATTTTTTCCGTTTGGATTGTGATCGTTTAGTGTTCAAACTTTGTCTGAAGCCCCCTGTTGTCTTCTCAGAACCGACATACGAATCAATTTTTAGAAAAAAGTTTTTTATTTTTTTTCTGAGAAAGTAACTCAATTAAATTTTGCTCTTTATTTAATAATATTTACTGCCCGTGCTTACCAAAATCCAGCACTTTCTTTGGTTTCTAGTAATCATTGAATATTTGTTGATTTTGAATAATTTGTAATTTTTTTGTAAACCATCGCATGTTCTTTTACATAAGCAACAAACTGAGGCATTCATATTGCGAACATTTCACAAATATTATATACTAAGGTCGTGTGCGAGTTAGGCTAAGTTGCGTTCTAAATGAGGGAAATTCTAAGTTGTGTCGATAATGTATTGATGTGTCGATACGTGTTGATAAATGGCAAAATGTGTGCAGTGCAAAAAATCGCAAAAAATCTCCCATTTGGTTTAGCATCAACTTAGCCTAACTCGCACACGACCTAAATTATTTAAATTTTTTTGCGTTTTTCATGCTGAATTATTTTCTTTTACAATACAAAATTTATGTTAGCTGTTTACAATTAAGATGTTAACAAAGAAAAGCTCTACAACTAAAAATTTTTAACACATGAAAGCTTTTTCTCATCCCTTAAGTAGCTTATGCTAATATAAACAATCAAAATCTCAATGCTAGTAAGTAACTTACTAATTAAGTTTTGAAAACGTAGTATTAGTTTTTTGGTAAAGTTGTAAAATTGAGTTATCAAAGCAATAAGTTTCATTTTTGCTTATTTTATCATACAAAAAAGTAAGAAAGTGAAATAAAAAAATGAAAATTATAATTTAATTAAATGTTGTTTTTCTATTTAACTGTTGTTTACATTTTCTGCAACTGATTTTCAGCTGATGATCTACCAAATAACGAAAAATTATTAGACTTTATACCGTGGAAATTCGTTAACGAAAAACCTTCACAATTTCATAAATTCATAAATAAATATATAAAACTTTAATACTTTACTGAATTAACAAGTAAGTCTGAATAATTCGAATATGACTTTTTTACAGCACACTGATTTCAATCTAAACTTAATCATTATTTCTTACTTTATATATTAACAAGTTGTACACAAAAAATAAAAAATAAATTAGTTTAATAAAATTCGCACTGAATATTAAAACAGGTACAAGAATTTACTTAATTTACTTAAGTTTTACTACGAGTAGCTCGTGCCAAATTACGTTTTTTACACAGATTATCATGGAACAGTTTTGTGTAAAGTCTGGTGAGAACATCAGTGCCGAGCAAATAAACAATGTAAACATTTAAATGCAAACTAAAACAGCTGATTCACACATCAACACAAATTTCACTTGAAATAAAATGTACGAGTAAAGTCTGTGTAGCATTTTCAAATTTTGAAAGGGATCTCACGCTCTCTCAGATGGTCTCATTTACTCGAAAATTTGCTCGTAGAATGCACTTGTCTATGCACAGTGCAAAGTTAGAAAAAAGTTACAAAAGTAGCTCGACTTATGATTTCAATCAATGACATTTCTTTTGTAAAATACAACTCTGAATAATTTATCATCACCAGTGCATTGAACACACTTTGCTAGACATTTGTTGGTGTTATAAAAATATTAGTATTGTATATTTAGAAACAATAAATTAAAGCCTGTGAGTGATTAATATTTAGAATTTATATCTGGAATTTAACATGAGCGATCCGCTTCATGGAAGTTTGCTCTTAGATAGAGCTACATCAACGCATTTATCTGATCTAAAGTACGCTAAGCTGCATAGTCCAAAAATGAAGAGCGTATATTGGCGTTATTTTGGATTTCCAACTAATGAAAATGATCGTATCATTACCAAACAGAATGTCGTTTGTACATTGTGCCATAAGGTATTAACTAATCATGGTAACACTACAAATCTACGTGCTCATTTGCAGCATCGCCACAAGGAGCTATTTAGTAAAATTTGTGAAGAAAATGGAATTAAAGTGCCGCAACGTAAACCGCCACCTAAGTACCCAAGAAATTCGCAAACAACCAGTATGGCAAAATCTGAAACAGTGATTCATAGAATAAAAGAAGAATGTGTAATGGGTAACGAATCATCAAATAATAGTATGCCTGGTGATGAACAGTTACTTTACGAGGCAATGATACCAATGTCATATGACGATGCCATTATTACTAATGATCAATTCATGAAAGTTGAAGTGGGTCAAGGCAGCGATTTAAGCACTGTTGATACCGATATTGATATTGTCTGCCCACAAACAGTTTCAAGAAACTTTAATTGTATCGAAGAAGTTGATCCATTTTTGTTACAAGATACATTAGCTAATATGATTGTTTTGGATTTGCGTAACATTGATTCTCTATACGATCCAGGCATGTCAACGTTTATACGTCAAATTAGTGGCAATTTGGCTATACCAGCAGAGAAGCGGGTAATTTCATAATTATAATATTAAATAATAATTTTTCTATATAAATAATTATTTATTTTAGATTGCAACTTTAATACGTGAACAACATTATAATAAATTTACAACCTTATCTACTGAGTTAAAAACTCATTCACAGACCAAAGAATTTTCTTTTGGTTTGGAAATGTGGCGCAATGTTGAACATAAGCAGTTTTTAACTGTTTATTTCAACTATATAAGCGAAAAGCCAGTGTACTCTCTATTAAATGAGTTTTACGCCACATACGAAATCTCCAAATTTATGCATGTAGACGCTTTGTTTCAAGATTTTAATCTCAGTAATTGTTCCGCCGTTATAGTAAATTATGAGGAAGACGATCCCATTAAAGATTATTTGCGTGAACATAGTAAGTAACAAGTAAAATAAAAAAGAACATTAAAATACATACTTTAAATATTTATATAGATATACCAATATTACTTTCTTTTGATGTTGTCTCCGACAAGTGTTTAAATCATGTATTAACATTACCAGAAGTGTTGCCTATTATGGAAGAGCTGAGAGATATAATAGATCGCTATTCATCTGAAATTTGTTCAAAGGTAGTTAAGAATATAAAAATATTTTGCTTACCAAGCTATCTTTTCTGTTGCAGCACATTTCATATCCCACATACAACTATTTGTTTACTAAATAGTATTATCCTCTTATTGCCTTCATATCACATTAAGCTATTATCATAATACTTTTTTTTTTCAATGTAATCCACTTTTCATAGTACGAATTTGAAGTAATTTGTCTTATAATTTTAGGATGTTGAGATACCAATGATTAATCCAGATTTTCCCTGGACGTTTTATGAACTTTTAAAATTCTTCACAGAACAAGTTGTGTGGCCAGATGAGATGGACTCTATAGTTAGTTCTGTTAAAGAGATAATGGAAAGCATAAATGGATTGCTTGTAAGTATATTATAAACTTGTATTAAGTTAACCCTTTAAAGTCCCACAAGGACTTCACAAACAGGTCCTAACGGGTTACAACAGTCGGCAAGTCTCCTTTTTAAAATCATAAGTTCTTTGTAGTTTATCAATACTATCAAAGCCTAGAAAGTGTAAAATTAAATGTTCTTATTAGTTTATTTTTAATACAAATTTCATAGTTTCCATTTGGTTGTATACTTCTTTTGTTGTTAGTACTCACCCATTTTCTCTTTGAACGAATAATATTGTATCGATAGCAATTTATTAAATCAATCAATAATAAATAAGTTTGCAACTTCAAACAATAGAAAAACTTTTGTTAATAGACTTTGACAAATATTTTCCGTTAGAGAGAGAAATAAAATAAAAACGATACATTTACATTTCTTCTATAATATTTTTTTAGCAAAAAGATAAGACAAAGAATTATTGAATCAGCAGTTGTTGTAAACATTAACAACTATCCTCCATCCTGCTGTTACTTCTCACTAATTATATTCATTGTGTACCTCAATCAAAAATCAATCTTTCTTGCAGTAACTCTATTAATCACCAACCTTACAAGAATGTTTTTATTGTTGAGAAACTGGTCAAACTTTCTCAATTAACTAGAAAGCCATTTTAATTGCACATTTCTTAGAATTTGCGGAAAAAAATTACGGGTTTTATAATTAGATGAATGTGTTGATGAACACAAGTACTTGGCTGATTTTTATGTTAGAGATATTGTGAAGTCAGTTAAAAATTCATATCTGCACAATCATGAGATCATGGTATAATCCTGAGCAGTTTCATAACAGGTATTCCTGTATTTCGTTCTCAGTAGCCCGCAAGCTCGATCTATAGAAATTGCGTTTGTACACTCCAGTCTAATTAAATATCATGCACTGTTTTGTGAGAACCGACACTATTATTGACAATACTATTTGTATAGGCTTGTAGACACTCTATATTATAAATATAGATTGAGTCTTAAATTCTAGATTAATTAAATTAAATTTATGCTTTGATTGAGTATAAAATGATTGCAAATTTGTGCTCTTCTGTAGTTGGCAAAAACGAAAATTGAATAAGTAGGTTCAGTTTAAGCAAAGAATCTAGAATATCATTGTCAATCATTGGAAATGGATGATTCCAAGAACGGCAGGGACTACGTCCCGAAGCTGCTTGTCGATCTAGATGATCAAGTACCGTTTAATATCTCCCTAAGGGATCACCTAAGCTGATCCCGACGGGTAACGACAACAACAACAACAACAACATTGAAATGTTTATATATGAAAAATAACTGTTTAAGATATTTACACTGTCTTCAGTAATTCATTTTGTTTATTATATGTTGTTGTTTTTGCTGTCATAGCAGCAAAGTTACAAATAAAATGTATGCCTAATATATATACCTAATGATTTGTTTACATTAACATTACAACCAACAGAAATTAAAAGTTTTTATTTTTATTCATTTTTAAAAACTAGGTTAGTTTGGATACTCTCAAAGGTGAAGAGATCCCACACAGCAGTATGCTTTCTCCAATAACATTGAAAATTATTAACAAGAGATTTACAATTGCCGAAAAGGACACTCCACTGACGAAGTGCTTAAAAAGTGCAATAAAAGGCGAGCTGGAAAAGTTGTAAGTAATTTTTTTTATAATAAATATTTTTATTTATAATAAAATTTTATTTTTTCTTTATTCTTCAGAGTGATACATGACAACCATTTAACACTATCCGCTTTATTAGATCCAAGATTCCATCGTCTCATCAACTTAACTAATTTGCCACATGTTGTTGAAATTTTAAAGAAGAAATTAGCTATTATCAATGAATGTGAAGTCAAGGATACACCGGGTGTAGTTAATAGCTTTATAAAGCCTTTTACACAAACCGGTACAACAAAGAAATCAAGTTAGTTTTTTTTTATTTTGTTTTATACGAAAATACATATGTATATAGACTCGAATATATATATATTAGTGCTTCAGCCTATTCTACTATTGCAAACACGAAACAGTTCCACTATGCTGGTATATTGTATACCATTTTTTTTTTTGTTTTACACCTAAACATTTTTTTTTGTTTTATACAAATAATTTTTTTTTTTATATATTTTATTTAACATAATAAACATTTGGTTTTTGGTACTTTGTACAATTGTAGCTAGTTAGTGAACATAACATAGTAACAATCACTTATATTTAAATTTATTTAAAAAACGTTTGGAAATAGCTACTGATACTTGATTAACAGAGCAATTCTGGCAAAGATCGTTAAAAGTTTTTCGCAAGCCCTTGTGGCACATAAGTCTTTCAAAAAAAGTTTTGTCATTCGTGGTAAAAAGCTGTTTTGTGTTATTTGTTTTGTGCTAAAATCAAAACAAGCTGCTATCGCTACTTTATCATCTGTTTCTACTTGTTTCATTTAGGCAGTTTCGCTCATTAAGGGTAATGCGGCTAATTTTCCATACAAAGAGCTTTTATATAAATGAGCTCATTAAAAATAAATCAGTTCATTTAAGGCAAAAATGTCGAATGCAATCTTTAAAAATAAATTCCCCATAAAGGAAATTATCAAAATTTGAAATATTTGTCATATATTTTATTTAAAATCTAAACAAAAGAGCTGTTCCATATGCATAAGTCAGTTTCAACTGCAGTGCAAACATTAGATAAATAAACAATTTTATTTAAATACGAATGATATGGAAAGCCACAAATTATATGTTTAATAATTTTTATTTATATATAAATAATTATTTACTGAATTTAACTTAACTCATGTGATAAAATAAATGGCAACAGCTATTCCTTCCTTAAGCACAGCAGTGGCAAAGAAAATTAATTAATTTTATATTTATAGTTTAAATATATATAAATAAATATATTAATGGTCAATAATTATTAAAATTTATATATATAAAAAAATATATAATTTTTATACTGCTACGTTTGCGTCGTATTGAAAATGAAGTTAGAAATAATTGTTCCACTTTCACAAAATTTAATTAATTAAAAATTTTTATTTTAATTTTTATGCATTTTATTTTATATAAAGAAATCTTAGCTTATAACCGAACGATGTGCACAGTAGCACATTTCATCTTTTAAAAGACAGCAAAGGGCTATTAAGACAGATGCCAGAATACGAAACATCTGCATATTTTTGACTGTGATGAGCTGACAGATAGTTTCCAGGATTGCCATGTTAGTCATATGGCTGTTTTTGTCTTGACGTATTTTCGTGTTTTATTTAAATTTCCTAAATTTGAGATTTCTGCTTTACAATGCATTTTAGGTCTTCACTTAAGGTTAGCTGTTGTATCGAAACGGTGTTTTAAACAAATAATAATTCAAATAGTTTAAATAATATTCAAAGCTCTAATATATATATATATATCGATATATACTTATAGAAATATTAAGACTTTTAATTTTATATAATAATATAATTTTTAAATTTTTAACAGATTTAGAACTGTTCTTTGATATATCGGACAATGTACCAAAATTCGACAGTGAACAAAATATAGACTGTATTGAGCGTGAATTAAAAAGATACAGGAATGAAGTTTATGTTAGCTTAGATGGTTCACCTTACCAGTGGTGGAATCAATTTGGAAAGGCTTATGGCAATCTGCAGAAAATTGCAAAGATCTATCAATGCGTGCCTTGTATCATAAACATGAACTTCAAGAAACCAATCTATCAACAGATTGCGGATCATAATAAGCGTTTTATGTTGACCAGCAGTTGTTTGGACGCAATTCTTTTTTTACATCATCATAATGGTAACATCTAACCCGTAAAATTCTATCGTACATTTAATAAACAAAAATAAATTTCAAATTCATAATTTTATATAATTGTATTTGAAACATAAGTAATTTATATTTAAAACTTGTATTTAAAACTTATTTGTTGTAACTATTCTGCTTGACATCATGCGATTGTTGCACACGGAATTTATTATTAAATCTATAATAAATATATATAAACTTATGGTATATATTCAATAAGTTAACTTTAATCTGGAATTAGTATTAGGGGAAAATTAAATATAAATATTTTTTTAAATACATTATATTAAAAGTAATTTCACAGTGATATTTGTGTAATGTTTAAATTATAGTAGAGTATTTATTATTTTTATAATATTAACAGTAAATATATCTTTTTCAATTTTTCAATTACACTTTACTTAAGGTTTATTAAATATCTTATTACTATGAACTATAAATATTTAATACATTGAATAAGTAATTAAACAAAGAAACATAGGTGCAATTACGATTTCCTGATATCTCTAAAATAAAGCTACATTGACAGATAGCTAAAAAATTGTTTGAAATATATTTCTTTACTAAAATCTGTTGTCCAATGGATGTGCCCGGGAAATCGGAATCGTTTTACATATTTCTTTAATTTTTTTTTTGTTTTACTTTATTTTTAATTTTTTTTTTTTTGTTAAAAATTTGACTAATAAAACGAAGTAACAAAATATAATGAAAATACCTTATACGCATGAGCATTGACTTTCAAATTGGTTAAGTGGTAAAATTGTAATATAATATATATTTTTTATGTTTTTTAAATTATTCACATTAATTGTAAATTATTGAAATTAATTTTATGTGAAAGATAAATAATTTTTAAATCATATATTTTTTTATTTTCGCGAAATATAAAAAGCATTTAATTGTAATATGCTTGTATAATATTTGTAAATCGCTTTTATTTATATTAAATTATTTATTTCTTTATACATATACGCAGAGTTACATATATATATATATATGCAGAGTTACTATATAAACAAATTGTTTGTGTTGGAAATGCTTAAAATATTTTTTCAACAACATACAGTTAAAAGTACATATGCCTATTTGTTTAGTTAAGTAATAAATGTAAAATAATATATCATATGTCGTTCGATTCCGTTCACCTCTGACTAACTGAAGTGACTGGATTTCTTCGCTGTGATCCAGTGTTACTTCTAATACGACCGACATACGTCTTCGTCCCTCCTTCATACCAACAAATTCTTCATTTTTCCTCTACCCTCGCTCAATCATATCCTAACGCATTAATGCATATTATTATTCCTTTTTCCCCTGCTATATATAAAAATCCACGGGTAACAACAACAACAACATATTCGGTATAATATGTTTCTCTATTAGCCGCTTGAGGAGTATAATTTATTATTCTTTATAATACGAGTATATTATAATATATTATTATAATATATATTATATATAATATAATATATATAATATAATATAATATAATATATATAAGTAAATAAATGTTATTATATATAAGATTATATAATTATGTATAAGTTTATATAATTATATATAAGATTATATAATTATATATAAGATTATATAATTATAAATAAGTTTATATAATTATATATATATTATATATAAAGATATGAGTATATATATATGAATACATAAAGTAGTCTCTCTGTATTACGAAAAATATAATATAAAGAGCTTTTGTTATTTCAAATAAATTTTATATGCGACATACAGAGAGGACATATTCCATAACTTACAAATAGTTGATCGTTCATTCAACTATATAATCGTATTTATATAAACGTAATTTTATTTATATAAATCTTTATTTATATAAGTAGCCCTTATCTACTTGTTCAATCTTAAATAACACACAACTTTTTAAATTAGTTTTAAAAATATAATATTATAACCGATATTTCGACTATAGTCTATGTTGTTGTAACCCTTGCTGAAGTTCCTTTGGGAGGTGTTGAACGACACTTGGTCGTCGCTGGCAACGAATAGCTACGGGACCGGCCGTTGTTGGAACCGCTATAATCTAGTTATCTTCAGCGTATTAGATAATAATATAGCAACAAATTAAATACACAGGACAAATAAATAATTATTGCAATATTTAAATTTTTAAAAATACTATATTATATCAATACCCGGAGATGGCTATAGGTTATAATCAAAACATCGGTGTATTAGACCGCACAAAAATATATATATATAATAAATATATTTTGTATACATTAATATATATATATATATATTATATATATATATATATATATATATATATTATAATTGATAATGCATATAATATATATATATATATATATATATATATATATATATATAATATATAATGTATACTATATATATATATATATATATATATATATAATATATATATATATATATATATATATATATATATATATATATATAATATATATATATATATATATATATATATATTTATTTTTATTATATAATAGCGTCTGTATAAAATATATATATATATAAATGTATATATATATATATATATAAATGTATATATACATAAAGATGTAATAAATAAATACGTATATATGAATATATATGTCGTATTTTTACATTTTAGTACACATTTATGTATTAAATATTAAAAATATATTTATTTGTAAAATATTTCTTATTGTCATATAAGTTAATATGTTATTAATATTTTTATTTAAATACATTTTTTCTTAATAATATGCATATGTTATTATTAACTCATGTATTTAAATACAAATATTATATATTAAATAAAAAAATTAATTGTTTAAAATTTTATGTAATACAAAATTAATTAAACAAGACAGTATTGCAATTTAATTAATTTTCTGTAATTAATACAGAAAATATGGCATATTCATAAAATTGTTTCAAATTATCATATCATATAAACTTTCTTTTAATTATATATTAATTATAAATTCTTTAAAAATGCTTAATATATTTTATTAAAATGTTGCTTCTATATAATCGGAAGTTGTATTGATTATAGAATCTGTTTTAAAAACAATTAATAAATATGTTTTTTAATTAATTTCATAATTTATATTAATTGCAAGCATTTTTAGTTCTATTAAAACAATTTAATGTTTTCAATAAAAAAAAAATTAATTCAATTATATTTGATTTTAAATAGAAATATTAAATGTTAAACTGAATAATATTTATTATAATATATTTATTGTATTTTAAACTTATCTATAGATTTGTAAATATTTCAGTCGAGTAGTATAATGTTAAAAAATTTTGAAATCTGTTTATGACAAAAAAACCTCATATAATAATAATATAAATACCTTAAGTTTAAGTAATAAACACTTCAAAGTGATTTTGAATTTCAATATAAAACAAAAATTTATATATTGAGGATGTCTTCGGGTCTGAATAAAAAATAAATAAAAATTTGTAAAGCATTGCGCTATCAATATAAAAAAAAATATTTAAATTTAAATAAAACATTTAAATGTGTTTTTATTATTTTTATTCTATAATAAAATAATTATCGATAATAGTCAGTCTAAACTGATATTTAGTTAAAACAATATAAATAATATATAATTAATATTTCTTAGTTAATTTCATTTAAAACATTTTCAATTTAAAAAGTTAAAAATGATATTTTTGGCTAAATGGCCATAGAAGACATCTTCAGTGTTTGAAATTTTAAAAATAAATTATTTTTTGATGGAAACAAAAAATATATGTGTGTAGTATGTAAAACTCTATGTATATAATACTTCAATACAGAAATGCATATATCATTTTAACTGGATAAATATAAATAGAAATTTATTTGAAAATATACATTTATTTATTTTATTCATTTAAGATTTGCCTTCAAAGTATACGTACATACCCAATGTACATTACGGTATGTTCACCTTAGATGAGGTTAGGTTCACCTAACATCTAACAGTTGTCGGTACTTCCACTCGAAGGCATATATCGCCCATTGTAATGCCCTTAAAAATTTTGTCGGGGGAGGCGAGTTACTAACCTTTGTTATACTTGTTAAACCATTTGGTTTCCCAGATAAAGTTGAGGAGATTCTATAACTTTGCTTTCATTACCTCTTTCAAGCCAGTGAAAAAACGATCCCCAAGACATTGAAGTCGACTTGTCTGTAGTCCTGGACAGAGACACAGGAAGTAGTTGATAGATTCTACTTCCTCTTCAGCTTGGCAACTTCTGCATAATCCAATTGTTGGTACTCGCCACCGTAGAAGCATAGACGTAATGGCACAGTGCGCTATTAGTACTCCAGTAAGTACACGAATTGCAGATTCGATAATGCCTAAAAGGCTTTTCGTTTTATTTTTGTCCGAACTAGGCCATAAGGTTCTGTAAGCGACCTCACAGTCTTCACGGTTAGCCCACAATATGTTCACCTTTGTGTCGTCCTGAATATGAATCGAGTTCGTCAAAACTACAAATGGTGCGTTAAAATTTTTAGGTGTCGCTTCAAACACAACCCGAGTTCGCAAGGATTTCAAATGACAAGTTCATCTTGTCTTGTCGAGTATCAAACTCGAGTCAAGTTCACGAAAACTGCAAATGACAAGCATTCGTTTTTATTCAAGTTAAACTAAAGTTGAGTAGCTTTTTTATTAATGCCTCAAACTCGAGTTGAGTTCACTTTTGAGTCTCTTCGTGAACTAGAGTGAGATTCTTCCAAACTTCCAACGGCGAGTTCGTTCTTTTTGATATCGCCACGATTTGATATTAGAACCAGAACCAAGTTTCTTCACATCGCCTTAAACTCGAGTTGAGTTCACTTTTGAGTATCTCCGTGAACTAGAGTGAGATTCGTCCAAACTTCCAACGGCGAGTTCATACTTTTTGGTATCGCCACGATTTGATATTAGAACCAGAATCAAGTTTCTTGACATAGATGACAGTTACGGCCGTAATGTCAGTTCGTACCTTGGATTATTTGACCGAAGCCTAAGAGGGGCTAGAAGTGGGTGTTTTCGGCATCTGTGGGGTGCCTTTATGAAAGAGGACATT